TATAAAATCCTGCCATACATCCCAAAAGAGGAGAAAACTAGAAATCACGATAAGCACCCCCAAATGCCTACCAAGGCAATCCAGCAACGGTGAGAGGGCAGTCATTCCTCTGGCAAACAGCATCTTACAGAATTTAACCTCATCCAGGCCTGTCCCTCTGGTTGTGTCCTTTTCGGCTCATTGGGTGACTAGATACGTTTCCTGCTCTGACCATTCTCTCTCATATACCCCTGAGCTGAGTTCCCACGTGTTCCAGTAAATATGACTTCAAGTTAGACCTTGACATGTATCACATCCGATGACACAACAGTGATGGCAAAAATAAACTGTCCATACATGATAGACACTGAGTAGCACACACATAAATGGTTCGCATCAGGGTATCCCAGCAGGCTCCGGTTGACCGCCTCTGGACGGAGTCTGTACAAAAGAATATAACCAGAGAAAGTGAGTCTGGAAACAAATTCGATGACAACATGCCAAAGAACTGGGCAGCGTTTAGTCTGGAAGAAAAACACAGTGTGGAAAAGCATAAATTGTGTCCATAAATATTTTAAGGAATGTGAAATTAAAGTGGCTTCCCAAAGCAGACTGAGACCAAATGGGCAGAGGTTACATTTGCTCTTAAAAACGACCGCCAGATATCCCAGCATGGAGCAGGCACTCTGCTGAGCTAGGGACCTTCCACTGCACAGGCTTTCCCTGCGGGCTCTGGGAGGGATGCCTACTGTAGCTGCAGATGGGATTAAATGGCCACTCACTCTCCAGCAACCCAATGTTGTGCTGTCTATCCCTCAGTATGGATATGCCCATGATGTCCTTCTGGAACTTTATTCAAGGAAGGAAAGAGAGATTGGCTGCCTGTGCAGGGCTGTGCATGGGGGCAGTAAGGGAAGGGATGCCATAACCTTGAGAGGCTCCTGGAGAGGTGGCCAAATAAATTAGTTTCCATCTTGGCTGAGCAGCTGAGGGCTCCATCAGGCCACCAAATTTGAACACGTGCATTCCAGGCTCACTTGTCTCAGGCAGTGTGGTGTAGTGATCCGCAGCTCAGGCTCAGGAGCTAGAATGGCCTGAATCTAAATCCCAGCTCCGCCCCATACTTGACCTTTAGCAAGTTTCTTAACCTCTCTGAACTTGTTTCCTCTTATCCAAAATGAGGCTCCCGGTCATCCTGCGCTGGGTGCTGCTGACGGGCCAGGCCGCGGTCCCTTGGGGTTCCCTAATTTCATCGAGGAGGGCTGGACAGTTCCATGCATGTCCCCAGTCCCAGAGCAGTGCACTCTCTCTGTATCGTGACGTTCCAGCTTTCTCTAGAAGGCTGCTCAGCCGCCTGTAGGTACAACCCAGAGTTAACACCCCCAGAGACAACCCTCGACCAGTGGGTCCAGCAGTCTGTAGATAAATACAATGGAATATTACTCAGCCATAAAAAAAAAAAATTCTACCATTTGTAATGACATGGCTGGACCTAGAGGGTATTATGTTGAGTGAAATAGTCAGACAGAGAAAGATAAATACCATATGATTTCGCTTATATGCTGAATCTAAGGAACAAACTAATCTAAAAGAGACTCACAAATATAGAGGACAATCTTGTGACGACCAGAGGGAGATTGGGGGGCTGGGAGAAAGGGGTGAAGAGTTAAAGAAGTACAAATTAGTAGTTGATAGATGGTCACGGGGATGGGAGCACAGCATAGGGAATGCAGTCAGCAGTAATGTAATGGCTAGGTGGAGAGCCAGAGGAAAGAGCAATTAGTGGGATCGTTTCATAAACTATATAAATGTCTAACCAGTGTACTGTATACTTGAAACTAGTAAAAAGAAATCTTTAAAAAAAAGACCCAGCTTCTCCCTCACGGGATGGGACACTTCTGAGGTATGTTCTACATTGAGCTGATTGGTTTTGCAAAAGTCCAGACTATGTTGCAATATAGAAGAGGAGTTAGTAGATGATCCTCGTGTGCCCTCTCTACCCAGAGGAAGGAGCACCCTACATGTAGATGCGTATTTTTTTTTACTGTTCTAATACATGTAAGTATTAATAATACACTGTGAGATAGTTTGGCCTTAATTTGACAGCAGCTATACTTCATTCTAAGAAAATCAAAACTTTGATATTATGCTACTTGGAAAATTTAAGAAAAGGCGCTATGTCATTGAGTTATGAGGAGCATGGCTTCTAGAATCAAATTACCTTGGCTTGATTCCTGGCTCCCTAGCCTACCGCCTGTGGACTAAGAACAAATTATTTAATCTTTCAGTGACTCAGTTTCCACACCTGCAAAATAGAGACAATAGTATCAGGCCCTTAATATTGTTTTGACGATTACATGAAATAATCTATAAATAATAAATAAATGTCCATATAAAGGGCTTAGCTCCAGCCCAGAATATATTAAGTGCTCAATAATCATGCACTAGTAGTAGGAGTAATAGTAGTGATGGCGTCGTTGCCAAAATACAACAGTTGTTCCCATCAAAAGTAGCTTCCTTAGTCATTAGAAATACGCTTCTGATTTAATTCAATTTATATACAGCATATTCAAGAACATAGATGTTGCTATAACCAGGCCATTCTAATTTTTTTTCAATTATAAAATAAACATTAGAAGTTTGGAGGTATGGCCTGGAAATTTCTTTTTAAACTCAGTAAAAGATTTTCAACACTCTGGTGATGAATTCTAAAAATAATAGCAAACACAGGATGATTATATGTCAGTCACTAGTCTTAGTAATTAACATGTATTCTCATTTAAACCTCAGAAAACCCCCGTTCTTACCTCAACTTTATAAATGGGGAGACTAAGGCAAAGAGAAGTCAAATATTGGTTGGAGGACATAAAACTAGAAGATGTAGGAGCTAGGAGTCAGACCCAGGATACTGGGTTCCAGGTCTTCTCACAGGGTAGGTATGTACGTAACCCATAGCTACACCTCTGGGATGGAGATGGCCCCTAGGCCCCTCCCTGACAAACTCTCCTGGCTAGCTTTTCTGCCACCCTTGCCCCTTCCCGTTTCCTGGGTACCACATTGCAGTACATTCCTCATCCACAAGTAAGCCCCTCCTCCCAGGACTGTGCCTGAAGCTCAGATGACAGGAACAGTTCTCCTGCCAGATAGGAGATCATCTGATGAACCTGGCACAGGTGAAGGGAAGTCAAAGTCGTATTCCCCCTGGGAAAGATGTTCTCACGTCCTAGTGATCATCTCTAAGTAAAGTGTGGGTTTTGGGGTTGGTAGAAGTTTGGGACAAAGTGGATATTTAGAGAAATCTCTAGTCTCTCCCAAGAGAAAATGCCAACTTCATCTATAGAAGATTGGCCTCTGAATCTGAAGACTGCAGTTCCCTGTTTTTATATCCAAGATGCCCAAATGTGTCAAAGATCCTCCTCCTGCAACTCCCCCACCCCAACATGTTTATATTCTCAAGAAGATGGTGCAATAATAAAGAAAATTTTAAGAGGACACAGCCATGTCATGTGCATCAGCCAAATATAACCATTCACAGTCGTGCATGCACATAGCTTTTTTTTTTTAAGCATAGCTTTCTTATCTTTGCCCCAGCTCTTTCTCTCTATACTGAGGGAGTGAAATTGTTGACAACACAAAGATTGTGATGGCTTACTTTTTAATTTTCAACAGGAAAAATAACTTCAAAGCAGAAAGTGAGAGCAGATGTTTAGGTTTGCCTTTTGTGGATTGAAACCCATTATATATTAAAGATCCTTAGTTTTATGTTACTGATTGCCGAAGGGGAATTTCCAGGGGATGGGTGTTTCCTTTTAATTTTTCTTGCTGGGTCTTCAGGAAAGATTCGGGGAACTATGGACAGAATTACACAGTGGGGCCTCCAGCGGAAGGTCCATATCTGATCAGCGCATTACAATCAAAACTTAACATGTGACCTCCAGCAGAGAAGCTGAAACAGACCATCTGAAGGTTGGGAAAATGAATACTGATATGTTACTTGTATTAGTAGTAGTTGGTTTTGAACCTATAACTAGACTGTCACATTGATAAATAACTAGGACATTTCATTGAAAAGGGAAATGTAGCTTTTGTCATAACAGTCTTAGATTGATTTCAAAGTAAAAACAATGTATTAATTAAGAGCACATGTATTTTCAAAGCAATGTTTAATTACCCACAATATTGTAGGCTTCTCCTTGTTTATTTTTCTACTACTTCGGTACAAATCGAATCAGCCAAATGATGAAGAAGGAACTGAGCAGGAGGAGAAATTAAAACATCGCCAAGGAAAATATTTTAATAAAATCTTAATCCAATTTATTTTTATAGTATTCTTTTTAGGCACTGAAATTGATGTGTACTCCCTTATTTCATTTTCCTCTAAACTATGTCCACGTAGTTGAGTTGAGTGAGTTGGTTCAGATGTTCTTACACCATTTTTGCTTAGTTCTAGACTAGCGCGTGCCTGGATATTTTATAAAAGGACAATATATTTGGCTTTAACAATCAGCGTTTTTATTTTTTACATTAGTTGGTTATTCTGAATTATCATGAGTAAATCACTGCAAAAGGGGCATGCATCTTTGGATTCTAGATCTCAAGGAATTTGAACCAGTCTAGAGAAAAGGAACTCTTAACCCTAAAGCAGGAATAAATAAACCTGTCATAGAAATAGGGCTACTGCCGACTAGCTGAGTGGCTTTGGGCAAGTCACTTAACCTGACCCAGTTGCCTCATCTACAAAACAAAGGTGTTGGGCTCAACGACCTTTTTTCTGACTCTTGAGTTCTTCTAAACTAATATTTTCCCAAAGGTCATTGATCTACTGGGGGTATGATGAATCAGCCTAGAGGTGCATTTCTAAAACCAACTTTATTTAGTGGTGAGAAATAAGAAATGAATATAAAATAGTAAATGTAGAAAACTCTCTATAAGTGTTCAATAAATTAAATCATTAGGTTTAAATAGTAGTTGATGGAGGTGAAGAAATTCAAAGGGTCGAGAGAATGCGGAAGAAAAATTAGGCATGTCTGCACTGAACCATCAATCGTCATTTTCGTAGGTCACAAATGGCCCATTATTGGCAATTTATGTGGTTCGACCTAATGCTATGGCTGTAATCTTTGAACATTAAATTTGGACAAACCTATAGCTACCTGGGCAGCGCCAGCTTTGGAGACTACCTGCATGAAAGCAAGAATATTAGGCGACTCTGGATAATCCATTACCTTAGGATCTGTAACAACCTGGAAGGAGCAGGTATTTCATCATCAGGTCTCTGAAACAAATCAAAGGTGCGTCCTCTAACAGAAGGTAGTTAAGATACTAACTTAACATTGGAACTGTTTAAACAGATGCAGATCCAGTTCTTCCTAAAATGTCAAATCATAGTCTATGGCCATGCTACCCTGAACATGCCCGATCTCATCTGATCTAGGAAGCTAAGCAGGGTCAGGCCTGGTTAGTACTTGGATGGGAGACCACCTAGGAAGACCAGGTGCTGTAGGTGTAAAAAATAATAAATAAACAAATAAACAAACAAACAAATAAATAAATAAAATAAGGGACTGTAAGCTGACAAGGTCCTTGCAGTCTGTGAGGTCAACCAAGGGTTGCCTTGCCTAAAAAAAGGAAAAAGAAAATGTCAAATCGTAGAGCCTCATATGAGTTGCATCGGAAAGCATTCCTTTACTGCACTTTTACACTTTTCAATGCTCCATTTTTCGTGAGTCATCTAATTATCAGACAAGGTGGAACTTCTTGCCTGTTTTTGTTTGTTTTAGTTATCCCTGAAAAGTCTGTGAAGGAAATCATCAGAGCCGCTGGTACCATCAAAGACAGAATCAAGAAATTGCTTGCTCACAAAAACAGCATGAAAAAGAAAGTAAAAATTAAAAATGTCATCACAGAACCTGCTGGGACTCCCAACCCCAAGGTTAACTTGTGGCCCTTCGACTCTGAGAAGAGCATTTTCAGAGGTGGGCGCCCTAATGGAGAAATAAAAGGGAAGGAAGAGAGAAAGAACGAGGGGCTGGGGGAAGAGAAAAGAGATGAGACAGCCTCAAAGAACCACGTGGAACAGGAGCAGTGGCTTCGAGGAGATGTGTTCTGTGAGTATCTCTTTCGTTCTTTTATACATTTTATAAAAAATGAATTGTGGTTTCTCCTGGCAAATGAAAGAAGAAAAGACAGTTTCGCACCTTAAGTAAAACGGCTTTGACTTTAAGTCCTGAGAAGCAGGGTTCTCTATAAGGTCTGGAAACTTAACATCTTTCAGAGATACGTAATCGGATTTGTTCTGTGGGAAACAAGGTGTGTAAGTCTTTTCCCTTGGGGTGGGGGGTTTCCTGTTTGACACACACCTTCTCTTTCCACTCCCAGCCAAGTCAGCTGCTTGCCCTGCATGCACAGTTCTGTGGCTGCCCAGCTTTCCATGTGGCGCACCCCTCAAACCAGAGTCACTCTTACCAGGTGGATCTGCCAAACTCTACCTTTCTTCTTGAGGGTGCTTTTTACAGTCTCATTCAATGAAAAGAGAATTTCGCAGTTGTGTAGTTATGATTTTAAAAGCCAAAATGGGCAATTGTGGGGAAGAAAATTCTATAGTAGAGCTTAAGCTTATGTGTTCTCCATGAATGGATAACTACAGAAGCCACCATAAGTCTCAGCCCCTCCTGGACGGTTTCCATATTAACCCATCCTGGATCCCGCACACTGAGACTTTGCATTTCATTCTCGTTGGACATCCATTGCTCCCTCTGTATTGTGCCTCGTCTGTTGTTGGCTCCATGGCTGTTCGATTTAACTAAGTGGGAAGTAGACACAGGCCCACTCATCCAAAAACTAGCATGCCAATAACATCATCTCCCTTAAGAGAGAGTGAGAATCTCACAAAAGTATATTTCCAAAACCTGGTGAGAAGGGACGTGTTATTAGTAGTATAGATGCTTAGGTCAACTGGGAACCTCTGGAAAAAGATGTCCCGGATGAGGATACTGGACCCAAGTGAAGCCTTGGAAATGTTAGGGAAACGCGGCTCTAACATATGCTGTCGGTAGAATACATGATCAAACCCTCTTTGTTCAGTCATTCATTCATAACTTCTTAGCGTGTGAGGTTTTGGCATTGTTCTTAACTGATTAAGTGTTCTCTATTAGCCCCTAAGGTGCATGAAGCAGATGAATATAATCTGGGTCTCATCGAAAGAAAAGCTACAACACCCAGACTGGAACACAAAGGTAAATAACACTTTCCCCTAAGTATATGCTCTCTCGCGGTCTGCCATGTTGTTTTCATTTCCTCATAGGATGAGATGTTTATGAGTCATTGCTTCATTTATAAACACCTCAGGGAAAAATCCTTACATCATGACACATTACATCACTCTAGGTGCCAGTATGAAAATAGTGGGTCTTCTGTACCAGTGATTATAATATAGTAAGGCCATCTTCTCTCCACCACTCCCACCCAACACCTAGAGTAAAGAGTTGAGGCAGATTGTATGTATGGAGATGGGAGAAAATGACTCGTTTGCTTCAACTTCCAACACCTAAGAGCCCACGACCTGACCATGTACTAAAATCTAACCCAAAGTGCCTATGTCGGTTACCTATTATCAAATAATGTGGCATAACAACAAACCAGAAACCCTCAGTGGCCTACAGCAATAAATATTTATTTTTACTTACAAGTCTACGGATTGGCTGGATAGTTCTGCTAATCTGAGCTGGTTTGGGTGGGGCTTGCCCATGTGTCTGTGGTCAACTGCGGGCCCGCTTAGTGACTTTGCTGATCCTAGCTGTGCTCTCTCACATACCTAAGGCCTGTCGGGACAACTGGGCTGACTCAGCTCTGCTCCATTTGGTCTCTCATCCTCCAACAGGCTAGCCAAGCTTGTTCTTATGAGGCATGCGGCAGGGTTCCAAGGAAGAGTGGACGCACACAGGCCTTTTGAGGTCTAGGCACAAAATTGGCACATCACTTCCACCAGACTCTATCGGCCAAAGCAATTCACAAGGCCAGTCCAGACTTATGAGTTGGGGGAGGTGCTACAAAGTTATGTGACAAAGAGCATAGGTACAGGGAGAGGTAAAAATTAGGGCCATGTTCATGATCAGTCTATCAAAGCCTCATAATCTGGAATTTCTTAGGTCTGATCTCTAATTCCTCTGAGTTTATTTAGCACATTTACCACCTGTAACAATTTGTATGTGTCATTTCTACACAAACATCAGGGGAAAACCTACTTATATATTAATCACTTTTACTTGGTATAAATATGAATGCTTTGATCTAATTTTCCTTTTCAAACTGTCTTTTACTTACCACCATACGTGTCCTAAGCTTATGCTAGTTTGATTTCCACTCGTGTGTACCCCGTGAATACATTCTTCAATTCTGTTCCTTTGGTTTACAGGACAACTTCCACCATGAAGAAAGTACCTCTCTACCTCTCTAGTTCAGTCCTCCAAATTTAATCTAAGAACCTGCTTCTAAAAACTGTCCAAAGGCTAGTGACTCATGACCCAGCTCCTACAGGCTTCTTGTTTTCTTCCATATTTCTCCTAAGTGTTCTATTTAATTTTTTTATTTCTCTGCATCAAACACCTTATTGCCCTTTCTCCTGATTAGGAAGAAAATGTATCATAGCTCAGGGGTTAAGCTACGTCCTCCAGGTGCTCAGAACTTCTGCCCAGACCTATTTTACACTTGCTAAAGTGACATTAATAAATTGAATCTTCTTTGGATTCCCAAACCAACCAGATTTCTTATCCTACCTTTTCTTCTGTGATCCTTAATGAAACACAGAAAGTTTACAATTTTGTATATGAGCATATGACTCTGTGATTGCTAAGGTCCTTGAGTAAGGCGTCCTGGAGCATTCATTCTCAACTAGAAGACTCGGGTGGGTACCCCAACACTTCCACTTGCTGTTGTCCTTGGGCAAGTCACTTAGACTTGTGTTGCCTCATTACTTTCAAGTGTAAATTTGTAATAAGAACAATACTTGTCTTAAGGCACTGTCTTAGGCTAGGTTCCTCAGAAACAGACTCTGAGACAAGAATTTGTGTGCAAGTGGTTTATGTGTGAGGTGATCCCAGGAAACAGTGGTTTGGAGTGGGACGTGAGACAGGGCAGAGGAGGAGGCAGTAAAGGCTGCATTATCAAGCAGGTTTCCACTGTAGACAACTGGAGCTAGATTCCACTGGGGAATTTGGAAGCCAGTATACAACACGTGGCTCAGAATTGTGGGGAAAGGGAGCAGGGTATTTATACACCAGCTCCCATCAGACATTGATTGAAGGCTGCTCCCAGGAGGGTGCTCCTGACCTGCCATAAAGACAGAGAAGGGCACCACTGTGGCAACTGGACCTCCATTCCAGTTGGACCCTCTGCAAGACTAGAGAGAGTGTGGAGTCCAATCTGACTTCAGGTCCGTGTCAAATTCCAACACTTACTGGTCCAACCCAAAGGCAAGAAAATGGAGGTATCTATCCACCAATGCCTTTCCATCGCTGATTGAGGGCTCTCCCAGGGGAATGGCTCCCTGGTATTCTGGTCTGCCTGGCTTGGGCCAAGCATGCTCCAGCCACAAAATATCCTCACACAGAGGGTTGTGAGTGTTTGCAGTAGAAAGTCACATGCCTGTGAGGGAACATAAGTGCTGACAGATGTTGCTGTGGTACCAACAGCATCTGTTTTAGGAGTGGTACAGATTAAATCAGAGAATATATTTGAAAGTACTTTGCAAATCGTAAAGTGCTACACAAATGAAATACTGTACTTGAGACCAAAGCCTTGAGTTTTCTCTCTTTAAAGAGTAGTTGGCTATATACTATTCCATTGTCCCCATTTACATTCCCAATCTCCTGCATGTTGAGGAAGAGTAGGGAGTTTGAGGCAAACATGCCACCACGGTTATAAACCAACTGAAGGATTTATGTTGCACTGGCCGTGGGCTGATAACATCAACTTTTCAAACTACTAATGATACTCACTAAAGAACATCGAAGACTAGAAGCAAGTATTATCTGACATCTTTTAATTTTAAAACTAGGACTAGAAATAAAATATCTTCACCGGAATGGGGGCAACAGGGGTTGAGAAGAAAGGAAAGAAATAAAAGCAGCAGTGTGTTGTGCCGGCTTAGGATATTTGCAGGATGGATGGCCCTGGATTTCAGTCTCATTTAGGATTCAGGTCCAATTCCAGCATTCCGTGTCTTAGACAAATCACTTATGCCCTCAGTTTTACTTTCCTGAAAACAAGTCTGATTATAGAATTTTTATGACAATCAAATCAAATATTGTGATATATATGAAAATATTCTGTAAATTGTAATAAGTCAACAACTAGCTGCTGCCACTTCTCTCTTTAGCCCTTTCCCTGTCTCTGCCATTCCTTTATTCCTCAGCATAAACTGCCAAAGCCCCAACTCAGAGCCAGAGGCTGGCATTAGTTATAACCAAAGCATCTCTATCTCTCCTCTCTTTCCCAGTTGAGTTTTCTGTCATCTACATCGAGGTCAAGAAACTTTTTCCGTAAAAGACCAGATAGTAAATATTTTAAGCTTTGTGAGCCATACAGTCTGTGTTGTAACTACTCGACTCTGTCTTTGTAACTCAAAAACAGCCATAGATAATATGTAAATGAATGAATGAATGAATGGGTGTAATATTTCAATAAAATTTTATTTACAAAAACAAGCAGTGGGCCAGGATGTTAGTTTGCTGACCCCTGAGCTACATAAAAGCAACTAGAGGCGCTGGTCCAAAACTTGTAATGTTGGCCCTGTACTCCATACAATAGTTATGATTTTGTTAAATTAATACTTGTTAAGTGGAACCCAGAGTTAAACAAAAGACCACAAAAGAAATTGAGATAGAGAAGTTTATTACTCACAGGTCCTGGAGGAAGTACATGGCATACCTGGTGGGCCCACGTGGAGAGATCAAAGCATGGAATTTACAGAGAAAGAGGAAAGATCTGGGACACGTGCCTTTATTAGGGTCCCCAACACTTTGGGGTTTTGAGATGTCGCAAGCAAGAAAAGCGGCTACTGATTTAACGCCATTGAACGCATTTGTGTCCTTCCCCAAGGCCAGGTTTATTGAGGGGAACCTTCTCAGATAAACCGATCAGGTACCCACCCACCCAGGTTCACATACAACACACAGAGCGGGGAAGCACAGAGGCTCACGTGACAGAGCGAAGGGATGAAAGTCCTTAGGGACGCCAAGGCGAGCTGAGTTGACTGGCAGCACAGAGAGCTGCGTGTCAGTCCCAAGCCTGTGGCTGCGACGGGCAGAAGGTCAGAGCCTTGGGCTCTCGGCACCGTCCATGATGCTGTCGGGTCAGGCTTGAGCATCGTCTGTCTCAGGTGTTCAGCGTACATGCACCTTATAAGGTGGGAGCCTTGTGCTTATTGGCCTCTGCAGGTGGGGGCTGATGAACCCTAAGGGCATTCCCCTTGACAGGGCAAAGTTCCCCGATTTGCGGGGGGAGACCAAGTCCTGCACTGAGAACAGGGTTCTTTGGCAGAGTGTAGAAAGAATTCAACACACATACCAAAGTTAGAGTCAAAGGAAAGTTTATTAGGAAAGGGGTAACACTCCACAGACAGTGTGGTTTCCTGTCAGAGGCAGAGAGTGAGAGGGGCCAAGAGAGAGAGGACAGTAAGAGAGATAGAGTCAAGATTAGTACAGAAAGAAAGACAGTGAGAGGGACCCTGAGGGTTAGGGGAATTTGGTTTATATATAATTCCTTCAACCTGTGAATTATAATTTAAAAGACTTTGTCAACCCATTTCCTTTGACATGGACATACAGTGAGGAAAGGAAGAGTATGAAAAATGAAAAGGTAAGGATGTAGAGTGAGAGGCCTGCTGGCAGTTCCCAGCCTTTAATCCTTAGGTTCCCCATGGTTTTAGCCATAGGGAATGAATGATTTTATTTGTGTTGGGTGCCACTTAAAGACTTTGTTTTTCCTGTTTCCCCTTCTCAGGTGTGGAGAAGGGGTGATTAGTAATCCAGCAGAAATCTTTTGTTCTGCAGGTGTCCTCCAGGCCTGGCTGCAGGGCTGATCAGCACATTGTAGTCTCTGAATGTGGCTTGATTAAGTATTAGTTTCTTGTCTCTTCTCTACCTTACCCTTACGTGCCAGTTGACATTACTGTCATGGCTCCCATGGAATCCATTTTGTAAAGTTCAAAAGGTCCTCATTTCTTTATGCACTGTACACCAGGATAAGGCTGAGTTGGCCAATTTGAACCAACTACATTGGGGTTGCTCTAAGGAGCAAGTAAGGGGGAGGCCCTGGGAAGCGGGGGTGACTGTTTCTCACAAAGGCGACAGGGAAGTCATACAAGGAACTTTCATTTACTTGTGACACTGCAAGTTGTAATCTAGGGCGTGTACTCACATGACACTGCTAGTATCAATTTAAGGCTGCTTGACCAAATAAAATAGACGCTGAGGCTGCAATACCGTGGAGTAGCTTAGCTAAACTCTTGACTGAAAACATGGCATTGCCTTCCAAAGCTCCACATGTTAGACATTTTTCTAAAGCTCTTAACAATTATGAAACACACCATTTTTTCTTAGCAGATTTAAACATCTCCATTGACTGCAGCTTCGATCGTGGGGACTGTGACTGGAAACAGGATGTAGAAGATGATTTTGACTGGAATCCTACTGATGGAGACAATGGTATTTAGGTTTCACTATCTTGTGTTGTGCAATGCGATTCGGGCAAAGAAGGCTCTCCAGCGCGGGAGGGTTATTATTCCTGTCACTTGTTAGGTTGGGGTTCTTTGTTATGTTTGGAAACATTTAGACCTTCCGAAGTCTCCCCTGATGAATGACTAACTTGGTTTAGCACATCACATTCTCTTCCTTAATCCCTCTGTCACCCGCCTACCCCACCAAGGATGCTCTAGCAAACCTCTTCCATCTTCACTCTCCTGCTGCTGAGAGAGATGTTGAAATTCGTACAGGGTAGGAGGAAGTCATTCCTTTTCTCCAATTTGCCAACTTTGGTGCATTGTTGTTTTTGTTTTGGGGAGGGAAACAAATCTGGAAAGGAAATAAGACCGCTCCCTAAACCTGGAGTTTTAGCAGAGTCAGCCCTAAAGCTTCAAAACCACAATGAGCACCAAATTAACAACCTCAACTCCTGGACTGAACCTTCCCTTCTGTTGCTTGAGGATTTCTTTCTTCACATTTAAGCTTGGATTTTTCTCAGCCTTGGCTCTGAGCTGCCTAGTTTCCACTGCCTACCTAAACATTATCGATGTGCCGTAGCTTTTCTTTTGGACAGAGCATTTGGCTGGGAGATCCCATGTGAAGCATAAATTGGACCCCTGTCTCCTAAGGCTGAGTATATAATTAGAGAAAACTGCTATACATTCAGAGACTCGAATTTCCTGCCAGTCAAATTATTTTTGTGGGGATGTACAGGCTTAGCCCTAGGTTAGAAGATCCTTCTTCTAGATCCTTCCTCTGGACTAATTTCTTTCTGAGAGCTTTTCTTTCATACCCTGACATGTAATCAGGAAACCTGGATATTCCCTATAAAAATTAAGAATTTGGGATTACGGTAGAGTGGATGCATCTCACACAGCAAGTTGTGGGAGTGGGACTGTCGGTAAAGATTCAAAGCAACCATAAGGCAAGTTTAACCAGGCCAGAGACATTCCATAGCTTGGAGAAACTATCTTGATGGCAACTGACCTGAGTTTCTCCTTACTTCCATCATGGCATCTCCAAATCTATGTCTACCAGAGCCATGGCACATTGGGAGCCCATAGCTTACTCCAGGATCGTGACCGCTCACATAGTCAACGATGTCTTAAGTGGGTTTTCTATCAATGGGACAAAAGATCCTGGGGTTTGTATCATCCAAATCGTACTCCCTCCCCTTCTGTACCTCCGTCTCTAGATTGGCTTGTCTTTTTCGATGGAGTTAAACATAAAATAAAGAAACATGGTATGAATCAGCATTATTAGAAGGATAAAATCTCAAGGGCAGATTAAAGTGGACTTTAGCTGGGAGAGAAAGGGAAACCTGCCACAGTGGGTTGCAGAAGAGAGAGTACAGCTGGTAGAGTTGCCAGATAAAGTATAAGATGTCTAAATTTCAGAGAAGCAATGAATACTTTTTAGTATATTTCAGACACGTTGTTTATCTGAATTTCAAACTCCACTGGGCCTCTATATTTTATGTGCTGACTCTGACAATCTTACCAGCTGGACAAGAAGACCGGACAGTCTCTGAGTCCAGTGAAAAGTAAGGCGGTGTCAGCCTGGGTCCTCAAGTGTCTCCAGGAATTGTACTAGCAGAAGAATCCACCCCACCCAGTGTCTTCCTCCTGGCTTCTAAGGAATTCCTCCTCCTTATCAACTTCTTCAGACCCCACTTTATGGGAGTTTTGTCCAAGTTCATCAAAGCCACAATCAGAAGCTTGAAGATGAGCAAACATTCACTATCATTGGTTAAAAGATACTTGGAAGATGGATACTTAGAAATAGGAGATGTGTTCCTGTCATCCTAAATCAGAACTTGCAACCATACATAACACACCATTGCTGAGCTCCATGAAACCATTAGTACAAATTCAGGTACATTGTGGATTAAACACCACACTGTGGCCCCACCTAAGGAGCTGACCACCATGCATATCATTGACTCAGTGAGGAAATGCATTCTGAAGTGCAAACAAGCAAATGGAAAGTTGCATTGCTAAAGGATCGTTTAATTAAGAGTCTTACCCCATATCTGTGACTGCCAAGCTTTGTGAATGTGGACAAATCCCTCAGTTTCTCTGACCCTCGGTTGCCTTTTCTATACAGCAATGAATTTCATCTCTGTGACCCCTAAAACCTATTTTAGTGTAAAAATTTCGTTCCTATGTTCGAAATGAAAAGGACTTCAGCTTTCCTGCTAGGAGACTATCGTTCATTTTTTATAGTATCTTATACACTATAGCCAAACCCTTTACAATGGCCTCATCAAGTGTGCATTTCTCCTCTCTTAAAGCTGTTGGCTACTATATGGCAGTTCCCGCCTTGGCAGGCCATAAGAAGGATGTTGGCCGATTAAAACTTCTCCTCCCTGACCTGCAGCCCCAAAGCAACTTCTGTATGCTCTTTTATTACCGGCTGTCTGGAGACAAAGTAGGGAAACTTCGAGTATTTGTGAAAGACAGTAATAACACCCTGGCATGGGAGGAGACCAAGAGTGAGGATGAAAGGTGGAAGATGGGGAAAATTCAGCTGTATCAAGGGATTGACACTACCAAAAGCGTAAGTGGAAAAACAGCATTAAACTAGATATTTACATTCTTTTTCAATGATTTAACAAACAAAACACTTACTGAAGTACCTAGATGCTGAGGCTGCAAAGATGAGTGAGACTTTCCCCTACACCTAAAGAGCTTATATTTTGGAGCAAAATCGGCAAGGCAGTTAATCACAATGATAATGCTTGTCAGGAGCACACATATCACATTCTGTGGAAATGATCCGTTTGTGTGTCAGGCTTCTCTCACTAACTTCCTTCTGAACCAGGCTATAATTTCCTTAATAGTTAAAAAACAAAACAAACAAACAAAAAAACATGTTGCTCACTCGTTCTATGCTCAGCAATTATCACAGTGAATGGAAGCTACAAAGTCATTTTTTTTTTAAGCCTACAGCACCTGGTCTTCCTAGGTGGTCTCCCACCCAAGTACTTACCAGGCCTGACCCTGCTTAGCTTCCAAGATCAGACAAGATCAGGCGTGTTCAGGGCGGCATGGCCATAGACTACAAGGTCATTTTAAAAATGTTTTTTGAACTGAACTTAATGGCTATTGCCTGGGGTCCCCAAGACCACCCTCAGGTTCCATGATTCCTTAGAAGGGCCAAAGAACTCAGAAAAGCTGTTAGATTCATGATTACAGCTTGTTACAATGAAAAGATATAGATTAAGGGCACGGTCCAGGAGAGAGTTGTCCTCTCCCAGGAGAGTGCTATGGACAACTCATAATTCTCTCAGCAATGAGTGACAACATGCACAAAGTATTGCCCAGTAGGGAATCTCACCCAAGCCTTGGTGTTCAGGGTTTTTGTTGGGAGTAGGCATTACTGACCATGTGACTGACCTCTGTTACTCAGTCTCTAGCTTCTCCAGAGGTCAGGCTGATACTCGTGGGACCCAAGGCCCCACTCTAAATCACACTGTTAGCATAAATTATCTGGCATGGCCACAGACACTCTTACGAGGTAGGATATTCCGAGGACTTAGAGGTGATCTCGTAGGAACCAAAGGCCACTCTACATTCTATTGGCATTGTCTCCTCAAGGAGGTTTAACTTACGCAGAAGAAACGTCAGGAAGGGGATTGTCTTGTAGAAAAGTCTGCTTTTGATTGCTATATCCTAAATCTCCTTGACAAGAAAGCAGAAGAAGCCTGCCTAATATTTTTGTACCAGGGTAAGGAAAAATGCGGTTAAATACAAACGCAAATTAGGATGTCAATTAATTATCCTAACATTTATTTTTAGTTGTCTGGGAGTATCAGTCAGGGACTTCAGTGATGGAAAAGCTGTATATCCCAAGATCTAGACATGCCCACCCTCATTATCCCACCTGTTTCCGTTGCTGTGAGATGTCTGCTTTTCGGATCACTACTTTTTAGAATTACCTAGAATGAACATCTTCCTGAAAGCAGTTCCTTCCTGAGAAGAGACTGAGGAGGAAGAAATTTCTATACCCATTGTGCTATCACTTGCTACTCAGTGATAACTTGTCTCCAGCAGTTCTCAAGACAATCAATCAGGGAGCTTAAGGGCAAAAGACAGCAGCCCAGGCAATGGGCAGTCACAGTCTCTCTTTGCTCCCATTTGTCTCTCTGAGGCTTCCTCTTTCTGTTCGGAGAGCCTGGGAAAGTGGAACACAGTGGTGACAGCAAGCTTGAAATCACCTCATCTCTGCCACCTTGACGACTATTCTGTGATTATTTATGAAGCAGGAAAGAATGAATAGTTGCATGATTCTTGAAAGATCATTCTTTACAATGCCAATTTGCTGTAAATTTGGATTTATTTTTTTTAAGTTCAGAAAAGACAAAAGTAAATCATCTTATTGAAAAAACGTAAAGATTCTAATCATTCCACAGTACCATGAGTACTTCCATATTTTGCATTTTACTTTCTCCATGAATACATATTTTAATCTATAACCACAGTATGCACATGTTATTGAATTCATTTTGATAGAATTACATGTGTGTGTCATTTTAAAGAAGAATAACATGTTCCAAATTAAATATTCTTTTCTCTCTAAAATTTTTGTTCCAGGGTAACCTTAATCATCTTTGAATCAGGATCATTTTGCTGTCCTCTAAATCTGCTGATCTTTGATATTGAGAATTAAAGAATTAAAGAGCCTACTAGGCATATTACCTCTTTAGTATTTCTTCTTGTAATGAATGGTATCTCACAGGTGCTCCATAAATTGTGGCTATGATTTTCATAATTTTTAAACTAAAATATATTCTGGTATCTTTTTCTGATTGTAAAAGTAACAAGAACTATTTATGAAAAATATTATAAAATTAAAGAAACTTAGAAATAGTCAGCAAAAATTTATTTTAATAATATTTCTTTGGAAATATTTTTGGATGAATGAATGAACATAAAATAGTCACTGTATATCCTTAATTTTGTTAAATGACTCACCCGTGTCATTTTGCGTCAAATTCGAAGATGGTTTTTCATGTGTTGTTTTCATCTTCTGTTTCTATACTATAGAAATTTTTAAAATATAAAGAAGTTTGCTTCTTTTGATTACTTTATTAATAAATGTCTTAGATAAAACTGATTATAGCTTATTATCAAACATTTTCAACACATGAAAACAATGGGATTCCAGATCATTTCTGAAAATGTGAATCAATATTTTAAGAAGAATAACTCTATTATTACAAACAATCAAAATCTGGATATATCAAAATAATTCCCTTTTGACTATATAGTTTTATATTAGATGTTCACAGGGAATATTAAATTTCTTCTAGCCAGTTTTTATTTAAAGAAAACCGTATTAATTTTTTATTTTTGCTTTTGTTTCTTTAAATGGGAATTCCAAATTTTCTTACTAAACCTTACCCTTCTCAGCTTTCCAGAGCTTTCCAGATTCTTTTAGGTGTTACAGTGACCCTTCTTTCTCTGAACATAACTCATTCAGTGCAGAAACCTGGCGTCTGGAAAATATGACATATTACTACATATTCAATGTCAAAGTCTGTTTCTATGCAATAGGAACACATGAGTGTAGTCCTCTTTAATAGCTATTAAATAGTTTGATTTGATCCGTTTTGAATATTTTAAAGTAATTTTTTATTCCCTCTCCATTATTAGATCATTTTTGAAGCTGAACGTGGCAAAGGCAAAACCGGAGAAATTGCAGTGGATGGCATTTTGCTGGTGTCAGGCTTATGTCCAGACAGCCTTTTATCTGTGGATGGTTGAATATTACTGTTGTTTTTTATATCTTCACATCTGGCTTTTTGTGTCAGTTCTCTTTTTTGATATTATATCATAGACCCGCCTCCATTTTAGAAATACAAACTTAAAAGTTGTAATGTACCAACAGAAACGTTGTTGTAAGTTGCCTTTCTTGTATAAGATGCATCAATATTTTCTTGAAATATAGTACCATTGTGTGCTTTCATTCATTTATGAATTATAAAATATGAAAATGTCGTTTTCCCCCAATATATTTTGATTTGTCTACATGAATTGATGAACTTCTCTACACAACATGTCTAGAATTACAAAAAAACATGGAGAAATGTTTAACTGCGACTTTTATGGCACTTCTTGGAAACTATGACATCACAGATAGACCTTTACCTAAGTGGCTTAACTTGATCTTTTAGAGCCAAACTTGTATATTTAAATTCTTTGTAATAATAATATCCAAATAATCACCTTGGGTTATGGTTTACATTTTTCTAAGTAAGGAAATGTGGTTGTTAATTCTATGTTTAGTTATGTGAATGATTTTTTCTTCACTGGAAAATGTGGTTTTTATTCTTTTCTCTATGGAAATACTTTATATTCTTAAAAATTCTTAAAATGACTTCCTATTATGGGAACACATAACTGTATTTTAGGCCTCATAACTGCAATGCAAATTAGCATAAGTTGTTTTATTCAAAGCCTCAGAAAACTACCTAAAACTACATTAAGCAAGTAGCAGAACTCAAAAAAAGATGAATGCCTTCTTTTCTGTTTTTCTTTTCTTCTAAATTCAAGAACAGTTTTGGGTGGTAATGAATCCTGAGTGAATTCTTTGAGGATGAAAGGATATTCTGCTTTAATGTTCTGGGTCAGAAATAGCTCCAAGATCACTTCCAAGTAGAATGTTCCCCAGATATTTGCTTGCTCTTCTGTAAAGCAATGAAGGAATGGGGCCACAGGAGAAAAGGAAGAGAGAAGATGCTCTACTTATTAATCCTTAAAACTTGTAGTCTCACTCTTCACTTTTTTATGCTGAAACTCTTGGGGGGGGGGGAAATCACATCATTTTTCTTTAGTGCGAAGTAATTTGGGCATGCAACATCTACACAGGATTGTAGCTGTATTTGTTGGATAACTGGTAGTTATAGAACCCCGAAAAAACAGTGTTTCCAATGATACCACTTGAAGACCTGCTCAGCTAAGTCAAATCAGCCCACAGAATTGTAAGAGATAATAAAATGGTTGTTTTAAGATATTAAAATTTGAGGTGGTTTGTTACACAGCAAAAGCTAACGGATACATGTGGTTTTGAATACTGTGGTAGAACTTGAAGAAGACTTCCTGTCCATTCAGTGACCAAGGAAATTTGACACCATAGTTGTGGCTTAGAATAAAGGAAATAGAAGAGAGAACTTGCAATAAAGGACAGTGTCCCAGTCATCCGGGTTAAAGGAAGAGCTATTAAATTAGAAATGAAATAGGCCTGGGAATCATGTTTAGAATCATGTATAGAAAATCAATGCATGAAGAAACTGAGTTAAGTTGAATCAAATAATATTTCATGCTTCTCTGATATCTGTAGCAGAGACTTCTAGTTACCTACCCAATATCCATGCTCACCTTTTTCCTCACTAATATAACCATACATAAATATATTTGGGAGATTAGGGAGCAATGTGCTCAACGAACAGACTGCATTTCTCAAAATCTCTTAGATGTAGGGCACTGACACATTGGTGAGGCTTCCAGGAAGGATTATTAAAGAGAGCGCTCAGTTGGCAGCTCACTTGCCATTTCTCTTCCTCCTTCCTGTCTGCAATGTGGTTGCAAAGGCAGCTGTACGAGCTACCCTGTGATCATGAAGGCAAGGACCACACCCTATGGAAGAGTGCATAGCTAGAGGAACCCTGGGTCCCTGACGACATTGTGGCATCTCTACTCCTGTCCCAGACTGGCCACTGCTCGATATTTTATTGAGAGAAAAGTAAGTCCTTTTTCGACCTACCTAGGGTTTCAAACAAAGCGCAATCTAGACTCAGGCGACCACTCTTCCTGATCCGGGAGCGCTGCTCCTGCCATTTCCTCCACAGGACCATAGTCTTGGTACTAACTTCTTAGGCCCTTAAATACCAACATATTGTTTTAAATTCCAGTCGATAGCTCATAGTGTCGTGAAGCTCTAGCCTGCACCAGCACCAAATCATACTTTGCTTCCCTTGGAGAAACCAAAGGTCAGGTAATTCAGCCATGACTCCCATATCTGTTGTCCCCGGCCACCATCCAATGTGCAAACCCCCTTGTCATCCATCCTCTCCCACTCTCTCATCCCCACAGTTATAGGCCTCTTCCTCTGTATACTCCCACTGTTTCTGTTCCCCTCACCATCACACATACTCCATTGTCTGGTAAACAAGCTCCACTCCATCTTAATTCATGCCAAAAATCTCTTATGTCTCAACCTTAGCTGAACTGAGTTCTCTCCCAGGGCCATCGCTACCCCCGCAGCCTTAGCAACTGAAAGCCCCTCATCCTGCCACACTACATACATGTCAGGGTCTGGAGTTGAAGTGGCGTCCTCCTTGCCCTACTCTTTCAATCTCTTATTTTTCATATTCATTGGAGGTGCAGTTAAATAGCTTTGCAGCCTTGTCCTTCCTAGATGTCATCAACCAGTGGTACCATTTATGCAAATAACCCAACCAATATCCTGGCCTCACAGTTCTTTGACATCCTCTATTCCAGTTACCATCGCCTGCCTGTCACTGTCCTTTCAAAAATCTCTTTCCTCA